ACAGGATATAAACACTCACTCACGTTCATACACATGTCAACGTGTACAACATCGCGCGCGCGTGCAAATTAAATAGACCGTTTTTTCAACTAAAACATCCAATATTTTGTTCATCATTCCGATGGACCTAATGATACGATAAGACTTTTAAAAACTGATTTGAATTCGTTATTATGTCTTCTTGGGATCGGCCTAGCCACTTTTTTGAATTTACAATTTTAATTCAGTGTAATCAAAACTTACGTTTTTTTAAGTTTCACAATTTCTAAATCCATATTATAAAGATTAGGGGCCGAAATTTGAAAAAGTGATGTGGCCGATCTCAAGACGACATAATTAAGAAATCAAATCAGTTTTTAAAAGTCTTATCGGATTGATGGACAAAAGATTGGATGTTGTAGTCGAAAAAATGGTCGGTATTGAATGCCCTTAAAAAAAAAGTCTTAGGTAAATTTAAAGATGAGTTAATTGGAAAAATTATGACAGAATTTATAGGTTTAAGGTCCAAATTATATTCACATCGAATCTTAAACATTGAAAAAGAAATTAAAAATGCTAAAGGTGTTAAAAAATATGTAGTGGAAAATAAACTATGTTTTAATGATTTCAAAAATTGGATATATAGTAAAACCCAAAAATATGTTATTCAACATTTATTTAGAACAAAGAAACATGATATTTTTATAGTAGAACAAAACAGAAAAGCTTTAAGTGTTTATGATAATAAAAGATTTATTTTGGATGGTATTGATACATTAGCTTGGGGACATTATAAAACAAATACAGATAGAAATAATTTTTTAAGCCACCTCAAAGACTTGATTAAAAATCAAAATGAAAAAGATTAGGATAATTTTATGAAAAATATTTTAATTATTATTGCATTTCAATTTGGTGATCTTTTTATGTTAAATGGTATTTTTTGACATATTTATGTTAAAATATATTATTTTAATTTTGTGATCTTTTTTCACATTGTTGCTATGTACTGACGTCCCGCCATATACGCATATATTTAAAGGCTTAATAGCGAGGGGGGCATAATATGAGATTATTCACATTAGGAATTTTTCGACCTCGGAGATTTCAGAACAACGACGCGATAAGAAACCGGGTACGTAGTTCTGAGAATCCGACAACCGAAAGTGCGTTGCGGAAATATAAATAAAAAGAGTTATAACGCGAAACAGCTATAAAAATGTCGAATATAACAATATCTAATCTCTCAACCGACACGACCGGGCAACCGTTTCCTGGAAACCCACGCACACGTGCAATTAGTAAACGGGGTCAGCGATATCTCATTTCTAGGAGAAGAGTGGAGAGTAGGCCTATAAAACAGGGACCCATCCACCCGATATTCAGACGTGATTTACCAGAGCTAGTACGAGCACCTTCACGCCAGTCGACTCTCTGACAAAATTCAGTGTACCAAAAATATTCTATCAGTTTTACATGTCAAAATAAAGTCTATGTTCATAATATTCTACAATTGACTTATAATTATTTACACCTCGTCATCTCTTGTCTTATACACCACGATCTGTGGGCTTGACCACTACATTGTTTTGTTTGTGACCTTTTATTGATCAAAATAGGAGGTGTCTCAGGAATGGTACACTTATACTATTCTCGCCTATGACGTATTTGTTAAACTGCGGTTTAATCCGATTAACAATGTTCATTAGACTAACTTTGTTAAGTGGCTTTTCATAAACCTCGCCCTTTTGTTCCAGCCAACTTTCTATGTCTGTTTTTTTTCAACTCATTGTTGGACATCGTTCGGCTTTCACCGAATGATGAGGTGCATTATCCATTACTATGACACTGTTGTCTTTTAACAATGGAATGACACCTTTAATCCAATCAAAAAATGAATCTCCGTTAATTTCGTCATGGTAGTCAGCTGATCCTTTTTTCGATTCGAATACCAGCAGACCCCCATTGACGAATCCTTCTTCTGATAAAATATGGACTATAATGAGTCGTTTTTCTTTGCCTGTTGGGTTGAGATCACTTGTCAAAAGTCCAGACAAAAACGCGTCTCTGTGTGATTTAACGGTTTTGTCAACCCAAATTTTTTCCATACAATCACCAATGTTTGCCCACGTTTCATCTAAATAATAAATTGATCTTCCTTCTTGGCTATATTTTCTGTATCTTGTACATATTTGGTTCGCCACAATACAATGTCGTCCCGTTCAATAAGTGCGCTATTGCGGCCTCTTTTACAATACGTAAAATTTAGCTTACGTAATGAATGGTATAGGTTGGTTCTTTTGTATGTGTTTAGTATTGGGTCATTATTCACGGAAATTAAAATCTTGTCCAGTGTGGGTACCTGACGGCTTAACAAAAAATCATATACCTCTTTACGTATAGCATTCCGTTCGAAATCGTCGACTTTTTCTTTGAATGTCAGCCTGTTCTTCTTTTTGTTCGGTGATTGTATTGGTTTTGCATTCCTGTAGTCGGCAATTATCGTTTGGATCGTATTCTGGCCAATACCCGTATCCCTAGATAGCAATTTCACCACTTCCTTAACTGTAATAGATGTTCTGCAATTTTGCGTTTGTATAATTTTATCATCATTTGTTTTTTTCGATTTCCAATAAACTGAAATTAAAATAATAAACAAATAATTCAGTTTGATTTTTAATTTTGTATATTAGACAATCAAGGTTGTTATGTTTAAGACACTTTTTGTTTTATCAATATAAACAATCAACACTTATCAATAAACTTCCCGCATGGTTTTTTTTAACTGATATAAGGGAGAATCAGCATTAGATGTGAATGGTGCATCAGTGTCACTCATTGCACAAAATTCAAAATAAAGCGCGGTTAAAAATCGTTTCTATAAACATGTAATACGGTCAACGGTTGAGAAACGAGTCACCGAGCTACGGGCTATCATGCGTTTTGTACACACTCACACAGCTATTTTCGCTAGAGGCACCACCTCCGAAGCCCGACCGACGCACGACGACACCCGATTACTGTGTTACCGAGTAGTTCGATAGTTTTCACTCGGTAGTGCCCATCACTAATGGAAACGGCTGTAATAGGCAATAGCTCATACGTTACGATACAGCGAAGCGCAGCCATACTCGCGTAGTCGCGTTCGTACAAGTTCTGTACAAAAAAATAATATTCAATATTGTTGTTTATTAAACTTAAATTCTAAAGCATTTAATGTCTGTAATATATAAATAAAAATTAAAGTATTCAATGAAAATTTTAAAATTCAAAATAGTATCAAATGACAATATTATAAGAAAACAACTATTTTTTATTTTTCTGAAAATTTACAAGTGAGGCAGCGCCTCACTTGCCTCACCCCCAAAACCGCCACTGTAACCAATGAAAAATTATTGACGCTGTATGAACACTAACGTACACTGCAATGAAATAAATACAAAATAAATATTATGAGCGAATTAAAAAAATAACAGTTAATTGAGATGCTAGTCGGCAACACTGTGACAGTGTCACAGTATTGTCAGTATACACACACACCTCAGATTAGATTATTTTTTCACGCAGCGGGGTTTTTCAGACAAGCCACGCGCACTGATGATAAAAGTTATAGATAAAAGCAGAGTAATGAGTTTAATTGGCGACACCAAAAATAAACTTAAATCGTGTATAAAAGTATAAAACATTAGATCAGTATAATATGATCTAAGGGTAAAACCATAGATTTTGTACTTAATTTACCTATATTAAGTGATAAAAGTATAAAACGTGGCTGATAAAAATCGACGCACTCGACGCAGCTATCACAGTCACGGAAACAATGGGCGTGGTTACGACCTTCAACCGACAGGCTACGACGAGCGTATTATTATATCCCGGTTATAGACGCCGTACAGCGGGTTTTTTGACTGTCTATTTTCAATCTATTTTAAAATATCCATATCATCTAAAAATCATCAACTAATAGATGACCAAAATTGTATACCTACAGTCAATTATGAAGTGCATAAAAACCCTCAATGGATGTCTAAATCTGTCTATTTTAAGTCCATTATAAGCTGTCTAAAAATCATCTACTATTAGAAATTTAATATAATCTACATGAAGTATTTTTCATAACGTCTAGCTGACATTATACTAAAATATGTTATAAAACATCTTTAACCCTTTCACTGCTGATCATAAAAATCTAATGCAACTGCTCTTTGCTGACTATATTTCATAAATTATTTAACTGGTATTTCCACCTTAAAAAGATAGTTTTATACTCACTGAATCTGAAAAAATTAAAAAAAAAAAATTGGAACAAAACTTACCAAGTTATTGCTAATTGTATAACTCTTAGCTTAAACCCTGGGGTTTCTCAAAAATGTACTCCGCTAAATAAATTAATGCACAAAATCAATGAAACATTAGATTTTTTTATGTCAAACATTTATTTTTAACAGTTAAAGTATTTAAAAAAAAATTTTACAAATCTTTCATAAAAAAGTCATAATTAACAATATTAACCATAAAAAATTATATTACATACACTCATAAATTATAAATTACTAATAGTATAAAACCAACGGTAAATTATTTTCTTATAATAAGAAATTTAATATAATAATTGAGTAGCTTTGTAGTTGGCTTTTGTATGGTAAATACCAAAACAAGGTGTTACACATAATCCAACATTACATAAATCACACATATATAATGTGTCTTTTCTTTTATTATTTTTAGAGCATACAATACATTTTCTTCGGTTAGCTTTTCCAACTTCATTTTTGGGCACATCTGTTGGAAAATGATGGGCTGTGAGTCGAGTTGGCTCATCTTTTGTACTTGCTCTTCCCCTATTAGGACTATTATTATATTTTCCATATTTATCCAAAAGCTGTCTAATAAGTTCTAATTGAAAATTTGCTATTGGTATATTCTTGCCACTTATAGTTTTATACAGTGGCTGACTGGCCCGGTGGGACAGTGGGAAATGTCCCACTGGGCCGCATGCTTTATGTGGCCGTCGGGCCACGCCAATGACAAATAAAAAACATTCAATATTTATATTTTAATATTGGTTTGCTAAATGTATTTTCTACATAGTCCGTGACATGTCGTGCTGTATGGTGTACTGTTATCAGTTAATGACAGTTATGTGAAATAATTTTGCAAGTTAACGATAAGATCTAAAAATAACTAACTGTTGGGTTATACCTATTACGTGATACGTCCGTCTATTGGTCTATTTGATGTCTGTGTTTTTGTGTACAGAGTACAGCTGATATTACAGCTCACAGTTTTCATTAAACTAACGAGTGACGACAACTAAGACTAATCAGACTTTGTATTGTACCATACTTAATTAGTTACTTATAGTGTTCTTCTTTACTTAATTTGTATATTTAAAATGAGTGACAACAATAAGAAATACGTTAAAGGTGGGGCACAGAAAACCAGAGAAAAAAATAAAAAACTGTTAGCTGATTCAGCAAAAAAATGTAAAAAAATAAGTAATATCTTTTATAAGACATCATCTCCAGTAAACTCTGAAGTAAGTAGTTATTTCTTCCATTAACCGTAATTATTTTTTATTTTTACTTTTGTGAATATTATACATTTATGATTTATAATTATGTATACCATGTATATTTTTTAAATTTTACATTAGTATACACAACTCAAANAGTGTATTGGTAAGATTTTTTATTTTATTACAATTGTTTGAATATTCTCTATTGAACAAATCAATCTAGAAAAAACTTCATTTATCTACATAATTATAAGTTAATTTAGCTAATTATTTTTGTTTAAATCTTAGTGTGATAGTCGTTCTACTGCTACACTACAGATAAAGCATACTGTACAAGATTCAACTGGTGTTATTAATATTGATTTAGATTCATCTTTAACTACCAACCAAAAAACAACAGCTACAGAGAGTGTATTGGTAAGATTTTTTATTTTATTACAATTGTTTGAATATTCTCTATTGAACAAATCGATCTAGAAAAAACTTCATTTATCTACATAATTATAAGTTAATTTAGCTAATTATTTTTGTTTAAATCTTAGTGTGATAGTCGTTCTACTGCTACACTACAGAAAAAGCATACTGTACAAGATTCAACTGGTGTTATTAATATTGATTTAGATTCATCTTTAACTACCAACCAAAAAACAACAGCTACAGAGAGTGTATTGGTAAGATTTTTTATTTTATTACAATTGTTTGAATATTCTCTATTGAACAAATTGATTTAGAAAAAACTACATTTTAAATTACATTAATGTGTTAAAATAATAATGATAATATTGCATTTTTATGTATTCCTTTGATATGTAATGCATAATTTGTTCACATTATACGACTGATTAAAATATTTGAATTCACTTCAAAATACTTTTTTTAATTCTGTCATAGTATCATATGAGGAATGTATATAATATGCTGACTCATAAAGATCTATATTTTTAAGTTAATTGATTTTATAACAAAATTCATGTTAATATTATTTTTGGAAATTGAATCTCTACAATATAATTTGTCATCCAACGAAGAATTATTATTCAAACTAAAAAAAAATGCTGATATTATTGAAAAGATAAACTTTGTCAAACAACATCCCATTCAACCATCATACTTCAGTAATATTCGACTAGATTTAGAAAAGCTATATTTTAGAAAAACACCAGATGATAAAAAAATTGCCCGGAAATGGTTATCAGTGTTCTGTATTGGTAATGAGCTTAAAGCAATGTACTGTCCATTTTGTATTGTTTTTAGTTCATCTGCTACCATATTTTCTAAGGGTTGTAATAACTTTAAACATATTTATAATGCACGGAAAAAAATAACTAGGTGATTTTTAACAAAACAGTTATGTTAAATATTATTTGGTATTGTTAATCATAATTCAATTGATACAGCAAAAAACTTTGTATGACCTACCTAAGTGAATAACAACTGCAACAAAATTAATTTTGTTGACCATGATTATTCTGATATAACCATATTCATGTTTAACATAACACATATTATGTAGCTGTTACAAAATAAAAAGTAAATATAATAATTGTGTAAACGTAGACGAATGGTTATGCAGTAATTATCTATTCATTTTTGTAAAAACTACCAAGTGTGGTGTTAAAACAACCACCTCTTAGTGTACTAGTAACATTTAACATTTTTGTGGTGGAGCTGATATAATACTGGTTAAATGAAAAATCTATTATGTTGTATATACTCAATTATATTGTTGTAAACTTTTGTATACTTCACATGGGAAAATGTTAATGTTAACAGTCACTAGTTGTTTAAACTTAATGTAATGTTAACTTTGTGAGTGATAATGTTGTATTCACTATTGTTTGGTTGTATTTACCAAACGAATTGTGCTAATAACAATTGCGCGTTAAAAATAACATTATTAGGATTGTCCGTTACCAAATTTTCGTTATCTCTACAATTATGTGAAAAACCCAGCGTGCATACGACTATAATACCGCCATGCCCTGTGCTAACTGCTAAAGCTATTACCATTTGCCACTAAGCTAACCACAGTCCACAAGGCACGGGATACAACCGCGTCTCACTGTTACGATTTTAATATTTTATATATTAAATATATTTAATAATATTTATTATTTTATTATATTCTATAATATTTTATATATTAAATTATGGCTGATTCCGACGTCGTCGACTTGCTTCATGCTTGGGGATTATCAAGCTATATTGATGTTTTCAAAGGTACGTTTTCATGTTTTTATTTAATGCAACACTTGGCTTTTTACATTCATTTTATGACACAAAATAGACTAGATGATATTTATTTAGGAATATACTCTAGTTGCGGATTGTATAAGTGATATATTTTTCCTTGCTGGTAAATTGTGCGTATTTACAATTATTTGTTATATAATAGGACTCATAAGTCATAGGTAATAGGTACTTATTTCTTCAATATTTAAAACTGTTACACCAGCTTTTGTAAGTTATGTTTTTCTAAACATAAACTTACCAAACGACAAACCTTTTGTTATAAATGGTTAGGTATAATATGAAACCTTGTTTTTCTGAACTGAATTTACAATTTTTAGATATACTTTCTTAATACCAATCATATTTTTAACTTAGCTTATCTATGTGTTAGATCATGGAATAGATGTATCATGTTTAAGTATACTCGACGAAGATATGCTTAAAGAAGTAGTTCCAAAAGTCGGCGATAGAGCCAAATTAAAATCAAATATTAATGATTGGCGTAAAATATTAGATATGACCAATAATAAGGTAAACTTTTTGGTAAGTTAGTACCTATTTCTATTTAATAAAATTTAATGATTACTTCATTTTAAATTCATGGTTGAATTTATTAAGATGTTTTATTAGTTATCTGCAATATTGTCATATATTTTTCAAACAATTTTGGTACTTACCTACATATCATTTTTGCTACTAATTAAAAATTTATTTATCTATATTATTAGGATAATATTTCAAATGATTATCCTCAAGACCTAAATATAAGTATTACATCACCATTAACTGTTCCTGAACTTGAAGACAATATTTTAACTCCAAATAGTGTTACTGAATCTGTAGTTTTGGATAGTGAAACATCAACATATTCTTCTATAGATAGTAAAACAGATGAGGTAGATACATATATATATATTTTATTTTATTACTTATTTTACCTATGTAGAGACGTAGAGTATGTGTTGTTTCCATATTATAAATGCACCTACTATTAGTGCATACCAGATTTGCATTTAGCGGAACCATTTGTGTTGTTAGCTTTAATATTAGAGTGAATTGGCCTATTATACAACTTAAATATAAGAATGTTAAATAGGGTATTTCATAGGATTTTATTGATGTTTTAATTTCAAAGTCATGAAGTTCTATAATTAAATAATATTATTGTATCTAAGTTGTATAATTGTTCTAAAAATATGTTTTTTACAAGTATCTATATTTTTATTAACCAGGAGTTCAACATTGCTTTACTTCTTTAGATTTTAATACAATTATAAAATGTTTAGGATCTTCCACTATTGGATTATTTGAAAAAAAATTCTGAAGGTCGTGCAATTTTGGCATCCAATAAAACAACACTAGACAATGCTGCTAGAAGAAAACTTTGTAATATTATCGTAAGAAGGGAACTACAAGACGACCCAGAAAAACATTTTAAAACTCCACGTTTACTCAGTCTTTCGCAAGAAATTGTTAACATTTTTCCAGGCGAACATATAAGCACTTATTTTATTCCATACATAAACTATGGTAAAAAATTTTTCACATAATATTTAAGTACCTTTTAACTTGATTTTTTTAACTTTTATATTTTATTTAACAGGTCCCACGTTAAAAAAGTCTGCTAAAGGGAAACTTTTAGACTGTTTTAACAACAGGAGGAGGGAATATAAGAAAGCGGGATTAATAGTCAACTCTCCTAAGCATACAGACCATTCACCTCCAAAATCAGCACTACTACTAGCTAGTACCCAACCAGTTGTTTATACCGGTAAAGATTTTAATTTTATATAGAAAACAAAATACTTGTTTGGTTTTTTTTTTTTTTTTTAGATAGTGAAAATGTTGATGAATCTTTGTCGTGGCTCCACAATTCTTCTGATCCATGGGATCTTGTTGTAAAACATTGGTCGATTACAAGAGCCACACGTTTAAAAAAAATTTTGGACACAAATTCTGAAGAGATATCCATAGCTGATTACATGAAAGAGTACCCAGCATTACAAAAACCAGTAGGATATAATCTAGTAAGACTTAATCAACTATAATACAAGTTTTCACTAACTATTTTGTCTATTGAAATTGTTTTTTTCATGATCAATATTTAAAATAAAACATTTTAATGTTGGTCATGAATAGAGCTACGATTTTAATGACCTAAAAAAATACACAAAATTAACGTAATATTTATAAATAATGACCTTACAAATGCAAAAAAATGCATTTAACATACAATTAAAACTACACATTCTAAATTATTATATAACAAAATAAATTTAGTTTTTGGTTAAAACTGTATAGCACTTGAAAAAAAAAAATGCAAAGTCATCAAAGTCCTAGCTCTAGTCTTAAATAAAGTTATTATAAAAGTTTAAATATGATGTACTTAATAAATGTAATAATTGATATTTTGAAGTATTTATATGAACATTTTTTATATTTTTAGTTGATCGATGATTTTAACTTCATACATCCTGACAAAATAAACAGCCTTTATGAAACATTTCCTCTTTATAAAACAAAAATTTTAGAACTAGCAAAAACTGCATCGCTAAAACTAAGAGACAATACCATCAAAGGAATTTTAATTGAACATCTTGATTTAGCATTAGGTACATAAAGCAAATTTAAATTTTAAGTAGTTAATTATTATTTAATTATTAATTTTTTTTTCAGCAAGTGAAGAAGCAGCAGTTATAGCCACATTTTCTATTTTGCCATTTCTCTTCAGTCCAGCTTCTACTAAAAGAAAGAAAGGTAAAAATAGTTCATGGAAACCTTCAAAGATTGAGATGAAAGATGGCTTTATAACACATTTAAAATCCTACAATGAACTACTGGAAACAGTAACAAGAAGAAAAAATAAGTATGCTCAACTTGGTTGCACCTTACAGCCTTTTATCATAATTGTTGGCCCAAGCATCAATGAAATTGTACATTTTTATGTTTATGTTGATAACACTTATTATGTTCTAAAATCAATTGTTGAGGCAATTGATTGTTGTTCAAAGTTATTCATGCGTTAAATTTAGAATATCCATTAGAATGCCTACAAGTTTGGACATTTATTCAAAAGGTTTTTTTTAAAATTAAAACTGTTTGGGACACTGAGTTTGTATCAGTAAATTCCCTCATAAGTGATATAGGGATTACAAATGTTTTATAATCAGTACTCATTAGTCATTGCTATTTATATTCAATTACATATTATGTTGTGCAATAACTCATGAAATAACTATTCATATTTTAATTTTTAAATTTATGTAATTAAATCAATGTGTTTTTATTATATTATTATTATTAACACCACAAAGTTATACATTTTTAAATATACCTATAGGTTCTAAAACTTCCATTATGCCTTGTTGCTTTATTTGTAAAGAAACGTCACCTAATATAGGGTTATTATGTAAACATTTTAAGTATAAGCATGCTAAACATGATTTCATTAAATATACCTGTATAGAAAATCATTGTAACAGGTCATTTCATTTGTTAAATTCATTTAAAAAACATTTTACTGCAACTCATTGTTCTCAAACATCTAAACTTACAAAAAGCCTTGTTACAAATAGTTTTCATAGTAATGAATTGGCATCATTTAATAGTCTAACAAGTTTTGTCAATACACCTACTTCCATTGAAATTCCACCTCTACAGTCTTTATTGGTTGATAACTTTAATAATCCTAATTTGCCAGGTTACCAAATTGAACAATTTTTAGCTTCTTTATACGCTAATCCTCAAATCCCACGTAGTGTTGTACAAACAGTTACTGAAGGTGTAACTGATATAATAAGAGGTATTAGAGGGTCATTGGTGAATTGTGCTACAGGAATTCTTCCAAATATTTCTGACCATATTAACACTACGTTTCAAGACTTTGAATCCCGTTTTTCAAATTTGAATACTGAATATAAGCGAATAAAATATTTTACTGATTGTGGTTCTTATATTTCGCCCATTGAGATTAAAATAGGACAGAGGCTGAATGAAAATAGAAATAACAATACATTTTCCATCGTTCCAACTTATTGTACCGAACAATTTATTCCTATGCGCGATGTTTTAAAAAAATTTTTCCAACTAAAAGATGTTTTAAAAAACACAATTGACTATATAAATAAAACCAAAAGTTGCGATGCTGTGTTAATAAATTTTATTCAAGGTAGTGTTTGGAAGAAAAAAATGAAGGATTATGATGAAAATAAAATTGTTTTGCCTATATTTTTATTTTTTGACGATTATGAAGTGGGTAACCCCTTGGGTAGCCATTCAGGTATACACAAATTAGGAGCTGTTTACTTTACTGTTCCTTGCATACCCATTCACCTACAATCTTCCTTGAGCAATATTTTTTCAGCTCTATTATTTCATTCATCCGACAGACAGCAATTTGGAAACCATATAATATTTAGGCCCCTTATCAATGAGTTGAATTATTTAAAGAATACTGGTATTGAGATTGAATCTGATGAGTAGGTTTAATCGTTGGAGATAATCTTGGTATTCACAGTATCACTGGATTTGTCGAAAGTTTTTCTTCGAATTATCCGTGCAGAGTATGTAAAATAAGGAAAGAAGATATGAAAAAACAATGCTATGTTGATGTTAATTTAATTAGGAGTTTGGAGCAATATAACCTAGATGTTTTGGAATGTGATGTTAACTAGTGGCATTAAAGATGTATGCGTTTGGCATGATGTATGTGGTTTCAATGTGTTGGATCAAAGTGGTATGGACATTATGCATGATTTATTGGAAGGGGTGTGTAAGTTTGATATGGCATTTTTATTAAATTATTATATTTATGAATTAAAAATTTTTTCCTTACAAATTCTTAATGAGAGAATGATTCATTTTGATTATGGGCCAGATAGTAGCAGTAAGCCTCCTGTATTAAACGTGGAAAATATTCATAAAAATTATATTCGTCTGTCTGCATCTGAAATGTTGGTTTTAGTTCGGTACTTTGGCTTGATAATTGGAGACTTTGTTCCTATAAATGATCCAGTGTGGCACTTGTATATACTTTTAAGACAAATTCTGGATTTAGTTACATCTTTGTCATTGCAAATAGATTCATGTGAACTCTTACAAATATTAATAGCTGAACACCATGACCTTTATCTTAAATTTAGTAGACAACATCTTAAGCCAAAACATCATTTCATGTTACATTATCATACTATGTTAAAAAAATTTGGTCCTCTTATAGCATTATGGTCAATGAGATTTGAGGCAAAACATAGAATATCGAAAATAGCTGCTAACACTACTAGCAATAGACGAAACATATGTAAAACCTTGGCAATCAAACATCAGTTGCAATTAAACAATTTATTTTTCAAAGGTTCATTACCTTCCCATTTTGAAACAGGTCCTCCCAATATCCTGAGTGATTTGGAATTGGAAGTTTTAAAAAAATGTTTGCAGCTTAATTCTGTAAAGTCTATTGTGAAATGTCCTTGGGTATCTATAAAAGGGACCAAATATAAGCCAAAGCTAGTACTTACATTAGATATATATGAAAATAATCTTCCTATATTTGGAATAATTGAAGACATTGTTGTATTAAATGATATTTTGATCATTTTTAAGTGTAAGCGCACTAATACTGTTATATTTGATGATCATGTATTTTCATATGAGATAAAACTGGATGATGAATGTACATTTGTTTATCACCATGCATTACTTTCTTATATTCCAAATAACATAAGTGTATTACCAAATGGACGTAGTTATGTAACTCTAAGAAGCAGTATTTAGATTATTATATTGTATTTTTATTATTTATTTATTACCTTTTATATGTGTTCATAAAATTGTATCTTAAGACAAGTATGTTATGCTAATATAGTAATATAGTTATAAATATGATATTATGATATGTATTATTTGTATGTGCTATCTTAAATAAAAAATTGTATTATTTAATTTCTTGTTTTCTAAATCATTAATTATAGATTAATTCCTTGATTTAATTACTCATCACTATTGGAATTGCATATTATTATATTTTGCATTTCCTACAATTAATATTTAGGACCGACCTAATTACTTAATAATTGTAACATTAGCAAAATAATTTGTAATTACTACAATGATATACCTAGTAAAAGTTACAAATTTAAAAGTAAAATTTACATATATTTATGTGTCATTGGAACACAATGTAATGTCATATCAACAACTATTCTAGTAGTTGTTACTGTAAGGCTTCTATTATAGTCATTGAACTATTTGCTAATGTCATTCTAGATGTAACTTTGTTTCAACCAAACTGCTAGTTATCTACAACAGACTTTATTTGTGGAGACAACAACTATATAGGTATTGATTACATAACAGTGTATTGTAATTTTAACAACTAATTTGGTAATTGTAATCAAATACAGTTTACCAAAGATTTATTGTAATATTAACTAACCATATTGTTGTCACGGGTGCAACCAAAAATTCTGGTAGTATGAATCATATTCTGGTAATTATAACCATGTTTTTTTTTCCGTGTGTTGTTAAAATACACGAAGATTCTTTAACACACAGACACTCTGTAGAAGCGTTTATTCAATCCACTAACGAAAAATCCATTGAATTTGGTATTAATAACAATTTAATGACATTAAAGAAAAATCAAATTCTAGAAAATATCCATGTTATAAACGAGATATTTGAAATTATAAAATTACTTGGTCGTCAAAATT